GCACCATGATCATGACTCATCAAACAAGAGCTACATCGTATAGAAATATTAGTATTTCATCAAATCAGTGGATTCAAGGATCTCACATTGTTCAGGATAGACCTTAACTCTATGGTGTTAGATTTCTCCGGTGAATTTCTTTGCCCTTTTTGTTCATACTGCAGTGGTCTCATTTTGCAACATAATAAAGTTGTTTGCATGCAATTTAACCAATAACAGGAAATAAATATTTTAGATTTTTAGAAATGTTTAAAACCTAACTCCTGTGTATCTCCAAAAAGGATTTGGGATAGGAAGAGAGCCATAAAATTAGCAGCTGTTTCAGAATTTTCAAATTTTTTAAAAATAGACTTGAGATTAATTCCATACACCACTAAAAACAACAGGGCAACTTAGATAAAAAAAGAAATCATATTTTAGGGATCAATAGTGTTCAACCGAGGGCTTGGGTGAAAGTATAGTTCGCAAAAGATTCTTTCCTTTGACCTTGAGGACTATATTTACCCTAAACATATATTATAAAATTACGTATTGTTGATCCTTTCCTAAAAGGGGTACAAGCTGTCTCTGGGCTGAAGAGTAATTTAAATAAGATCTTTGGTTTATGTTGCACATAAGAAGGCTTTACAAGATCTAATCTTTTCTAAACCTGTTCTGTTCTTCGGTTCAGCAGAGCCTCCTAATTGTAGCTATTAGATCCCCTTTTTTGTGGTCTGTTTCGTCAACAGACCATTGAGTGTTCAGTAAATTAAGCCCAACCAGCAGCCAACACATGGAGACAGACGTTAAATCACAACTCGACATTAAATACTAGCTCGGCAGCCCTTGTTCATTATTAGTATCTGTGAAATAGCTTTTGCGCGCAGGGGCAGGACTTAGCATGATGCACAGTTGTGTCATTCTCAAATTTCCATACTGTACAATCAGGTATGTGAGGGTTTTTATTCTACGCAACAGGTGTGTGCTTGGAACAAAGTCAACCCCCACTTCTGGCTTCTGTGAGAGGCAGCAGCTGCAAGCTTAATGCCAATGACACATGGTTCCATAAGAGAGAGAGAAAAAGAAATTACTTGTTCAAACTGTTAAAGCCATGGGCAGATGGGCCATAGCCGCCTGCACTTTTCTTTGTGCTTAAAAATCAGTCTAAACTTACAGCTGACACGGTTTTTCTCTCTTGCCTTTTTTTTTTTCCTCTTCTCCTCTTTGACATCCTTTGTTGTTGTTGTTTTTTTAAAAAAAACAAATCAGTGGGAGATAATTTTTTTTAAAAATTATTTAAGCAATGCATATTCATTGGTACTAATATTCCTCCATTTGGGTCATACTGTTTTCAGTCAGCTGAGCCACATGAAGGAAAAATTTAACATAAACTAAGCTATACTTTATTTATAAATTCACTTGGTTCTATAAAGGATTTAAGGTGAATGCTTGCACTATGCACTTTGAAGAGACTTACTTAGTATGCAGGTGTATTCAGAGACCTCATTATTACTTGGGAAAGAACTTTCATCCAGAAATTTGTAAAAAAAATACTAATAAGTATTGTTATGACATACTGTGTACCTCAGTAGAATAATGTCAACTTTAATTGACATTTCATAACAATGATGTGTAAATGATTTCATCATTGTTCAATCACTCAGGAACCCTTTTTAGAGTATTGGGAATAGTAGTTCTTTTTACATGTCAGCTCACAATCATCATTGTTGTTATTGCTGTTCATATGTACCATCTAATTGGAACAGACTCATGGCTGACCCTCCAACAGGTTTTCAGAGCCTGTGACTTGCACAGAAGGAGACTGCCCATCTTTCTCCTGCTCAGCAATTGCATTTGAACTGCTTGCCTTTGGGTTAGCAGCTTAACTCCTTATCATTAGGCTACCAGAGCTCATGCTTCAACAATGTAAGAAGCAGAGTCAACTATATAACTTTACACAAAGTTTCCTGTAAACAAGAACACTGAGGAAAAGAGACTACTATTGTTGTTATGTGCTGCTGAATTGCCTGTGACTCATAGCGACACTATGTACAACACCTCTGAAGCCTGTCCTGTCCTGAGCCAGTCTCTCTGACTCCAACATTCCTACTCTCATTGCCCCAGTAACTGTATCAATCATCTCATCTGGGGTTTTCCTCTCCTGTGCTGTCCCTCCACCCCTCTGAGCATCTTCTCCAATGACCAGTCCCTCCTGGCCATTGTGTGTGAGACAGAGCTTCAAAATCCTAGCTCCAAAAGCAGAGACTACTGTAATTCTGTAATTCTAAGGTACAACTGAAGTGAATATGTCTTATTATACTGGCTTTTCTAGAACTCTTATGTGTTAATGCTTTTCCATTACACCAATGAGTATTTCAACAGGAATATTTAATGAAAAATAAGTCATGCAAAGAACCTTTGTGCTCTTGGATTTGACATATAAATACACTGAAAATGTGACTATAAATAGTATTCATTAACTATCCTGAACCTTCTGGTATATCCTGTGTCACCAAAGGTCCAGGAGGAGCACTGCATGTATTGTCTAATTGAGAAAGAATAAAGAGAGAACCTCTTCTTAATTTTTTTAAAAAACCTCAAACCACAACCTCAGGTTTTCTGTGCATCTATAATAAATCTGGATTGTTTAATTGCTGAGAAATCTATAAGAAGAGAGATTAGAAATTCAATCCTCTACTGGAACAAATGGCAAAAGAAAGAAAGGAACTCAACACATTTTTAAGAAAGACTTTGGAGTTTATTAAACACTAAAATGAATGAATTACATTAGCCAATGGCAATTAATGTTATAAAATATGTATCAATGAGTCAATGAAATTATAACAGTAATGTTATAAAAATAAACTGTATATGAATAAGAAACCAATATGATTTGTAAACGCAAATAAGCAAACAAATAAAAGGAGAAAATAAAAATAAACAACAAAGTTTTTCAACTGGCTTGTCTATTACATTAGCTTTTTATTAATGTACGCAAATAATGACTAGCCCCAGAGATGATGTTAAAAATATCTATTATTAAGAAGGTACCAAATATACCTAAAATTTTGGGGCCAGCTTAAGAAAAAAAGGTATCTTTTAAGATCTCATGCAAACCACAGCCTTTCAAATTCTGTAACTTGCCTTTTCTTAAGGTGCATTTTGGGAAACAGAAGGGTAGGGGTGACTGACTTAGCTTAGCCAGAGAGATTTTTTTAAAAACAACTATCAAATTTTGTACTCTCACCCTCCTTGTGCCCTGAAATGTTATCTTATATTCAGAATAAGACCCAAACACCTAACTGTGTCCAAGAAGACACTATGTCATCTGGCTCTTTGCTGTGTTTCACCCTCACTCATCATCTCACTGACCAACTTTACCTAGATCACACCACATGCATCTCCTTCTCTGAGCCTGTGACCTTGCAACTTCCTCACCCTGGAATTCTCCTTTCTGAATTATCGCCCAGTTCATTCCCTCACTTCAGATACCTCCCCAGATAAGCTGTCACTGTCTCCAACTCTTTAACAGGGGAATTGATTATTCAGTAGAAGTCTTGTCATCACTGTGGGAAACCAGGTTCCATTCCAGATAGTGCACTTCATACACAATTACCACTCATCTGTTGCTGGAGAACTATGTGTTACAATGATGCTCAACAGGTTCCAAAAGTGCTTCCGGACTTACATGGACTAAGAAGAAATGCTTGGCAAGGAACTTTGGAAAAGCAGTCCATGTAAACTTATGGATCACACTGATCTGATTTACAATGGATCCCAAGGATAGAACAGGACAGCATATTGTTTTGTGTATGAGGATGCCACAAGTCAGAAAGACTCCATATCAGCTAGCATCTACAGCAATCTCTGCTCCCAGACTTTCTATATCATTAGCTAGAGTGATGGTTAAAGTGGTAGGTCGACTTGGCCACCCATGATTCTCTTATAGTGTAGGCATTCTCTTGATGAGATCTGATTGATCATCTCTATGATGAGTTCTGCTATGAGCAATCAACAAGAGTTTCCTGTAGTATTCGGCCTGCATTGAGTATATAAAGATATCTTGTCAAAGCTCTCTTGCTTTTTATTTGATCTATATTCCATCTGGCTCAGCATTTGGATTTGTACCAGGAATCTGTCATACTATCTCCTGATATTGGACTCAACAGCTTCTGGAGCCAGCAGCCTATCATCTGGGCTACTCGCTGATCTTTGGGTGAGAGCCTACAACTATGTGAGTCACAAGAAGCCTTTATTTTGTCATCTGACCTTGAATTTGGCACTTGTCGGATTCTATGATTACATTAGATTTTTCCTTAAAATAAATATATTTCTCTTCTTTGTCTATCTATAGCTTGATATTTCTCTCTCCTCTCCCTCTCCCTCTTCCTGTCCTCCCCTCTCCCCCCTCCCTTCCTTCCCCCTCCCCTCCTTTCCTCTCCCTCTCTCTCTTTCCTGGTTTTGCTTCTCTAGCAAACCCAGCCTAAGACACCCAGCTTTATTTTTATTTATGATCCTTAACACTATTTGAATTAGTCTATATATTTATACGTTGACATTGTTTTCCAGACCAAAATAAAAATTACAGCTGGTCAGATATTGGCTGTTTTTTACTTTTTTTTTATCCTTATATTTCAGCTTCTAAAATAGCACTGTGCACAGGCTCAATCCAGAAATGTTGCATGAATAATTAAATGAATGAATTAGTAAATGACCATTTTCACTACTGAAAACCTAGCTAAGGAGTTACTGTATTGTATACAGTTAACTCGATTAGCTCCTCAATAGAAAGTTGCAGGTTTAAGTCCCTTCCTGGCAATCCACTTCTAAGATCAGCCATTGAAAAAACCGTATAGAGCACTGTTCCACTCTGATACACAGAGGGTCCCCAGAAGTTAGAATTAACTCAATGGCAACTGGTATCCAGCTAGAAAAGAAAGCTCTCATCAGGCCATTAGAGTTGACTGGGTGGGCTGGTCCTTTTAAACTCCACACAGAGAATAAGGAAGGGAATTACTCACGTGAGTTTCCACATCGCCAGCAAGGATCCTACTGTTCTTTAGAAACTCAGCCACCATGCTGTCCATCAGCTTATCGAAGGCTTCTATGGAAGGTGCCACACCTTTGGAAGAGGAATCTGATGTTATTCTCTGAAAGTTTAGTGCAAAGTGACCACTGCTTTGTCATAGGCAACATGAAAGTTTGATATCATTAATATCATCTTCAGTCTATTCAATGAGTCATTTATTCGTGCAACCAGTATTTTTTAAACAGTTATCTGCAGATTAGGAAAACTCTGCTTTCCTTTTCCCCCATCTTTTTGAATAAGCACTTTCACTTACATTATTTCATTTAAATTTCTCCCAATTCCAGTGAGGTCAATGGTACTTTCACAGTTTTACAGGTGAGGAAATAGAGATAGAGCAAGCAACTTAGCTAAAACTGTATTCCAAATAAGAGGCAAATCTCAAACAAAGTCTTTCAAAAAGTAAATGCACTGGAATCAAGCCAATTCCAGAACATGATGGCCCTGAGTGACAGCAGAAACGTCTCATTGGGTTTCCTGGCTGTAATTGCTACAGAAGCAGAACACTGATCCTTTTTTTCTGGAGAAACACTGGATGGATTCAAACCATCAACTTTAAAGATAATAGCCAAGAGCAAACCATATGTGATACTTGAGGACTTAAAATGAAACCAAGTCTATTAATTCAAAGATAGGATATTTTCTTCTACATTGACCTGCCCTGATGTTGTAACAAACTTGCAATAGTAACCAAGGTTACCTGTAGTGGTTATGTGCCTTGGAGTCAGAATCAACTCATAGCTAATCTTCCAGCAGGGTTTCAGAGGCTACAAATAGCATGAGAGGAGACTACTTTTCCTCCTCCTTACCCTCCATGCCTGGGAGTAGCTGGTGGATTTGAACCACATGCCTTTGGGTCAACAGAGCAGCTCCTTACAACTAGACCACCAGAGCTCCTTAACGTTAACAGGACAATTTGAAAAAACTAAATTTGTGGTTGGCTGTTGTAAATGGTATTGCTTTCTTGGTTTCCTTCTCTGAGTTCTCTTTGTTACTGTAGAGGAGTTCCTCTGATATTCGGATATTGACCATATATCCTGCCACTCTACTAAATTGGCCTATTAGCTCTAACAGTTTTTTTGGTTGAGTCTTCAGGATTTCCTGTGTACACTATCATATCATTTGCATATAGCAATAGTTTAGCCATCTCTTTGCTGATCTGGATGTCTTTTATTTCCTTCTCTTGTCATACTGTCCAGCAGCTCTATTCACCACCACAAGAACATGAAAACAGCCCAGATGTCCAACTACAAACGAATGGACTGAGAAGCTGTGGGACATTCATGCCATAGAATACTATGCAGCATGCAGGAGCAATGATTTTGTAAATTACTATCTAACTTGGGAGGGAGTGAAGAGCATTATGCTGAGTGAACTAACTCAGTCCCACAAGGACAAATACTGTATACAACTACTATTGTAGAATGAGTATGAAGATCCAAGGTGGAGGTGGAAGCAGAGGGGTGAAGATGGGCGAGGGTGGGGTATTAACCATAGGGTCGCACAATTTGATGGGTGTGTGTGGGTGTGAAGAAAATGGGAAGCATCTTTTGTGAAACACAATGTTTTCAAATTTTGTTAACTAAATCAGTATAAAAAATAGTAATATCAATTCAAAAACATCCTCTCATCAGGTTGATTCATAGTGATCTTCCATTGGGTTTCCAAGGGTACAAACCTCAATGGGAGGAGAATGCTCATCTCTCTCCAGCAGAGCACCAGGTGAATGTGAACCACTGGAGCAATGTGCAGCCTTTGGGTTAGCTCCACAATTTGTTTTAGACTCTGGAACCAGAAATCCCTGAGGCAATTAAAAGGTGATAATGAATTCTAAGCAAGTAGGAAAATGAAGCTGACTGCACACCCCTTGCTGCTGCTTCACCTCCCCGGGGAAGGAGAGGTTGATGGTAGGTCTGAGAATGACCACCGAGTGTGTCCATGCAGGGTCTGTTCTGGTAAATTACAGTGAAGCAGAAAGGACAGCAGTCTGACATGGTGCTAACTACCTTTCTGCACATCTTTCCCTGTTTTTCCATTCTCTGGAAAAAAAATTCCAAGTCATTGACTTCATGCTTATTGTAACAAGAAATATGTTGTTCTTGTTGTTGTTATGTGCCGAGACACCTGCGACTCATAGCGACCCTATGTACAACAGCCCTAAACTCTGACCTGTCCTGTGCTAATCTCACCATCTCCAATACAACTGCCCCTGTTATTACCCCAGTCACTGAATCAATCCATCTCATCAAGAGTCTTCCTCTCCTGTACTGTCCCTTCACCCTCCCAAGCATGACGTCCCTCTCCAAGGACTGGTCCCTCCTTGCAACATGCCCAAAGTATATGAGACGAAGCTTCAGAATCCTTGCCTCCAAGGAGCAGCCCGGCTTCACCCTCTCCAGGATAAACCTGTTTGCTTTCCTAGCAGTCCATGGTATATTCAATACTCTTCTCCAAGACCACAGCTCAAAGGCATCAATTCTCCTTCTATCATCCCTAGTCATTGTCCAGCTCTCCGATGCATAGCAAATGATTGCAAAGATCATGGCATGTATCAGGCGCAGCTTAGTCTCCAGACTGGTATCTTTGCACTTCAGCACTTTAGAGAGGTCTCTAACTGCAGACTTCCCCATCACAATACATCTTTTAATTTCCTGGCTACTGGTGCCAAGAGTGTTGACCGTGGAGCCAAGCAAACCAAAACTGTGAACAATCTCAATCTCTTCACCATCGATTATGACACTGCCAATCGGCCCAGTGGTGAGAATCTTTGCTTTCTCGATATTGAGTCTCAATCCATACTGAAGACTGCAGTCCCTGACCTTCCACAGCAAGTGCTTCAGGTCCTCTTCAGTTTCAGCAAGTAAGGTTGTGTCATCTACATAACGCAGATTGTTGATGATTCTTCCTCCAATCCTGATGCCACAATTTTCCTCACAGAGCCCAGCCTCCTGGATAAACTGTTCTGCATAAAGATTGAAAAGGTATGGAGACAGGATACAGCCCTGGTGAAGACACTTCCCAATTCTGAACCATGCAATGCTTCCTTGCTCTGTTCTGACGACTGCCTCCTGGTCCACGTATAGGTTTCACATTAGCACAATCAACTGATCTGGGATTCCCATTCTTCTGAGAGTCAGACAGAGTTTGTTATGATCCACACAGTCAAATGTCTTTGCATAATCAATGAAACAAAGATAGACATTCTTCTGGTACTCCTTGCTTTCAGCCAAGATCCATCTAACATTAGCTACAATATCCCTAGTATCACAGTCCTGTCTAAATCCAGCCAGCACTTCTGATAGTTCTCCGTTGATGTGCTGTTCCAGTCATTTTTGGATAATCTTCAGCAAAATCTTGCTTGCATGTGATATTAATGATAATGTTCGATAATTTCCACAAGCTGTGGGATCACCTTTCTTTGGAATAGGAACAAATATAGATCTCTTCCAGTCAGTTGGCCAAGTGGTTGTTCTCCAGAATTCCTGGCACAACTTGGTGAGCACATCTAGGGCAGCATCTGTTAGGTGAAATATATCAATTGGTATACCACCAATTCCTGGGGCCTTAACAAGAAATATACTTCTGAGAAATTCTGCAGTATAGGCATTAACCTCTAAAGCAAAACCATGGATTCCCCTTTTCACATTGTCCAGAAATATCCATACTCATAAATTTATAGGCTAGCCCTTCTCTTTTTATCACATTTTCTGGCCTAAAGAGTGATGGAAATAGTTAATTACTGTACCTGAGTGGAGCAAATGGGTCAGTGCTTGGCTATTAGCCAAAAGGCTGGCAGTTCAAATCCACCAGGGATGCCTTGGAAGAAAGCCCTGGAGATCTACTTCTGAAAGATCACAGCCATTTTAGAGCCTAAGGAATGTGCATTTAATCTGACACACATGGGGATGTCATCAGTCAGAAGTGACCAGATAGCAAGTGATGCCTATAACATCGCTTCTACACAGACTATCGCAGCTGAGGTATCTCAAATTCCAAAACAGTACATAGAAACCTCTTTACTATAAAAGGGACACAAGCCCAAAGATTCCTTGTGGATCTATTTGGAAACAGATAAATCTGTTTGTTGCTGTGGGAAAGGTCTCTAATGAGTATTTAAAGGGAGAGAAGGTTTTAGTGATACTGTAGAGACATCTACATGGCAGGAGGTACATGATAAAAGGGAATATTTTGTAATTTCCTTTTATCACTCAGCTCTTCTCACAGTTCCTCTGGGTAGCCTTAATGACCTGTCTTCTCCCCAGATTGCAACCTTTGAGCATCCCTTTAATCAAAGCTCTCACAGCACTCAATAGCAATTCACTGAGACCAAAAGATTCATGAAGTGACCCTCATGAATGCTTAATCCATCTCAGAGTGCCTTGCACCTAGCACAGCGCTTGCAGTGCAAAGATATTTCTTAAACTGTGGAGTTGAATGTATCTGATGACTGAGGGATAGAAAACACTACATAAAACACATCAGCACAGCAGAATCACAGAGTAATTCCTTGAACTGTACAAATTATATAATTGTAATGGCTCACACTCCTTTTTAAAGTTTCTTCTTTAAAATGAAAAAAAAAAAATGGCCAATGTTAGTTATAACGTCACCAGAATCACAGCTATATTTAAGGTTAGAGGTTGTCCTTAAGTATTTGTTAAAAATGAAATTAAAAACTCATTGCCATTGAGTCAGAACTGACTCACAGCTGACCCTCCAGCAGGTTTGTGAGGTAAATCATACAGGAGACTGCTCATCTTTCTCCCTCAGAGAGGCTGGTGGATTTGAACTCCAGAGAGGGGTCACCTTCGGCTTAGCAATGCAACTCCCTATGGACTAGGCCACCCGAGCTCCTTTTGTTAAAAATAGGACAGAAAATTACCAAAGCCTAAAATAAGAATAAATATGCGACCAAGTGGTAAGGAGTTATGCTGCTAACTCAAAGGCAGGCAGTTCAAATCCACCAGCAGCTATGTGGGAGAAAGATGGGCAATCTCTTCCTGTTGCATCTATTGTTGTTGTTGTTGTAAAGTGCC